GGATTCGGAGGAAATCCGATCGGTGGATTTTGGGGGCGATTTATTAGCCTCGACCGACGCGCAGCCTGGCTGCGGTGTCGTGCATATTGATTCGAAGTGTTTCGGTTTACCTCCTGATTAGTCGGAACGTGCGCCGAGTCCGGTGTCCTCCTATAACGCGTTTGCTTTTCAATAAAGCTCGCACGATCGCCCGGTGTTAAGTGTACTCGCGAGTCAACAGCTAGAATCACGTCCATTTAAATTATCTGTATCCACCCTCACGAGCAACGTTCTTGAAATTATAGTGTTTTGTATGCAGATCATTGTTACATGTTAATATTTGTATTTCGCATCTGACAATAAGAACAGGGTTGTTCAGTTGTACAGGTTAATTGAGTAGGAGGTGTTTCTAGGTGATTTTGCTTTATTTTAGGTAACAGGCTTTAAAAGTGTAACTTATTTGTACATCTGTAAGATATCGGTGAGTTTTACGTTTAACATTGATTAATAATTTCAGTTGCTATATTCATGTAAATACAGTAGGAACTATTTTTAAAACTTTAAAGTGTTTAATCTTTTAACTATTTTTAAAACGAAAAACTGTTTCTTCCATCGCGTAAAACCACCCCCTTGCTCGATATACATGTAGCTAATACTTTCCAATCACCGTGTATTGCAACGATCGAAAGGAATTGCGTTCTCCATCGAGATCCAAAGAGAAAAGCAAAAGGAGAACGAGGATAAGGGCGGATCGTTAAATGTCCCGAGCAAGATCAACATTTACCATTCTCCTTCCGCGTTGTTTCCCTACCCCTTCTGGCGACATAAAAAAGGTCTCTCGTTCGTTTCCTTCCGGTAGGATTTCTACGGGAAATTCTTTCTTCGGTGGAAAGAAATTGCCCCGTCCCCGTTTCCGACCCGTCCCGCGACCCCAGCGTGTTTACACGGACCCGAGAATCGGCGAAGAGTTCGCTAACGAAGACGAAATTTAACGAACGTCCAGCCCACCTTTCTCGTCATCGTCTCCTTTTTTCCCTTCGTTCCGTTCTCCGCCGCAGGCACCAGCCCGCTAACGATCGCGAGCATCCTCCGAGCCGGAGGAAACCCCGCCGACGAGGGTGCCGCGAACGCAACGACGAACCCTCCTCTCTGTAATCGTCTCGAAAGAGGTCAGCGTGACCAGTGATCTCCCGTGAAAACGGTATGCGACGTGGTGATGGCATCGCGCCAACCGGAGTGACGGTACACTCTATTGCGTCTTGGTCTACCCTTATTTATTTATTTACGGGATTAATCCTTTGACGAAAGAATCTTAAGCCTTTGGTGACTATGAACCCATGCATGAACGTCCATGAAATTTTTCAGTTTTTCGATCGAATGTTGTTCCGACCAAAATTCCAAATTTTCCATTGCCCTGGTAAGTTTCGAACGCAGCATCGAAGTAGTTTGATATATTGTGCGTAGCAAAAGTGAAACATTATTTGATCCAATGCAAATTCTACTGTAAAAAGTATCGAGTTCTCGACTGGGAATATTTCGGACTCGAAGGGTTAACAACAGAGAACGCCATAAAAGAATACAGTAAAAACGCTTATATAAAAGACAATAAAAGTAAAAGGAAAGGAAATGGTAACTATTATTATTTGCCACTTTAAACGACAGACGAAGGATCAATCTCTGTCTAGTACGTTGCCACTCTGCCTGCAACAAGACGGACGAGAGAAATATTAAAATTTGTTACTTCCTAACTCCCAAATGTTCCTGTCCAGTGGACACATTCGGTTCGTCAGGAAACCTCGGGGCCCTAAATCTGGTACCACCGCGGACCAGCAACGCGTCACACGGCGAGACCGGATCGCTTTGTCCCTCTGTAGCTCGGTTTTTTCTCCCTTTCGGTGGCGTTTTTTTTTTTTTTTCAAGGCTGATTCTCAACCACACCCCCGTGCATCAGAGACGTTTTAAACGGGGACCAGACACTCGCGCGCACCTCGGTACTTTCGTTCGAGGCCTTTAATTTGGCACGTGTTCCACTCTTGGCTATTGTTGCCATGATTGTTGGGTGGATCGCCGTACCCCGTCTCGCTCGTTCTCTGTACGTCTAGCTCTCTCTCGCACCGTCTGTCCGCGTGTTCCTCTTCCCCCCCTCGCCAACCCGGCGGATCCTTTTTTTTTTTTGCGGTAAACGCGGCGTATGGTGGTAATGCACGACTGCTCTGTGTACCGTGGGCCGGGGCACGTGTGCGTTCGGTTTCTTCGTGGCCGTTTTTCGCGCCGCGGGTGACTTTCCGTCGGGACGAAACGTTTCCGACAAGTTGAGCGCGCGTTCCTCTCGTGGCCGATCCTCGAGGCGGCCGCGGGATCCACGGCCTTCGAGAGGAACGGAGACCCGGGGAATTTGCCGGAGGACCGAGTTCGTAAATTCCCGATAACACGCGAACACTGTCTCGGGGATCGCTCCGATGTTGCGTCGCAAAAGTGCTTAGCACGTTTATTTCGGTATGATGTGAATATTTGTGACGAGCAGAACAAATACTTGGTGAACAACAATCGCTACTTGTTAACCCCTTGGGTACATTTGACGTCTGAGACACGTCATTCACTTTTTTCCCCTAAGAACGGATGACGTGTCTAAGACGTCAAACCAAAAATTAAACTTTTAGGTACATTTGACATCTGAGATACGTCATTTTTTTTTTTTTATTGATCAATTTCATTCATCAATAAAAATATCACACTCTGCATAATTATTAGTAATTGTATTTTATTATAAATTGAATTTATTTCATTTAGTTTTATTTTGTTGTTATTAATTTATTTTTGTTTTGCAATTCTAATTAGTTGAAGACATCTTAATACTACATATGTCACCAATATTTTAGAAATAAATACATTCTTACGTAAAATGTACTGCCTTTACATAGTACTCCAAGCAACCAAAAATTATTTCCGTTCCACATGCAAATATTTTCTCAAATAAATCCGTACCCAAGGGGTTAATAAGATAGTTTTAACAACGCAATGGTAACTGAGGTGACGCGATCCATTCGTAGAGAAGTTGACTGTGCGATGGTTGATTTTCGACTGACGATACTAGCTGACAGTCAGACAAGTGTGACCAGCAGAATCTCTCGACGAAGAAAAATGACCGTTGGTACTATCATGGTAGTGGGGGAAAGTAATGTAATGACAACCATAACGTAACCTATCACCAGCGCGACTTCAAACCAAGCCAAACTACCATGATAGTATAAGGCGCCATTTTCCCTCACAATCGCTCAACCTGGTAACGCTGAGTGAAACAGGCTACGAAGAAGGGAGAATCTTTGCTATTGACTTATCTATTCGACGTTGGAAATGGATGACATTCAAGCGAGACGGAAAGTGACCAAAGAAACTTTCCTTCCTTCTCCTAGCATTGTACTTGGATTCCTTGAATCAGCTTTTATCACAAATTATTAATCCTTTGCACTGGACTGTCCCCTCTGAAGAAACAAAATGTATGGAAAATTAGTAAATTCCAACCGCAAAGGTTTAAAAGGCTCTAATAACGATCTGTGCGCATACGGTTTTGTCCAGAAATCTGAGTTCGCAGGGTTCCACTGCAATAAAAGAATTTAGACAGTCGTGATCCGTCGCGACACGACACTCAACGAGTCGCGAAAGCCTGGACAAAGTCGTCTAACGAGGTATCCTCGAAGTCAGTGCCTCGAACTTTGATCCCCTCGATCCCGCCATAAGAGAAAAACGACATTCCGTATGCACCGGCCTAATAATAGAAGTTGGATTTCTCGAGCACCGAACGCATTCTGCCCCAAATAATTGAACGTACTCAGCGATCCGGCCGATTCGTTCGGTCGCGTAATTTACGAGTCGGTCGGATGACGACCAATGTTGTAGCGTCGAGCGAAGAGGGGAGGGATCGTCAACGTGAGCGGCCACGGTTCCGAATTGACCCGTTTTCGAAGCTCGTGACCAAAACCCGGCCGCCGCTCATTTGCCTTAATAACGCTCGGCCCGTCCGTCGACTTTCGTTTTTCACTGCGACTGGTTTTTCGCGTGCAGAGAATCCACTCCGCGCCGGTTGATTAACGGACACAGTTCCGACTCGCGTAATTCCGCTCGCGCGATCGAAGATCGTCGAGTTTTCGTACGGCGCTCGGCGACCGGATAAATCATCACGGAAACGTATCGTTCCGTTCGGCGCTGGGTCCAGTTCGGTCCGGTGCGGTCCGGCGTAGGAATAATGCGATACAAAAGGGGGAGAGAAGTCCCCGTCTGGGTCCCGCGGAGGAACGCGTCCCACGACGGAGAACGTACGAGGCCTGTCCGCCGCGAAGATAAAGAGTGGCGTGTATACAAAGAAACCTGCTGGCACGCAGCGCGTGAGGAAGAACGATGGCGAAATTCCACGCGTGCAGTCCGTAAATTCCAGGCTTTACTGCCTGTCGTCGGTGAAATCGAAGCATATTATTTCAGCGGATGGGGTTCATCCCCGCGTGCCGCGGATGGAACGGAGACGAAGAGCAGAACGCGGGACACCACCGGAGAACTTGGATGTCTTTCATTAGGTGCTTAGAGGAGGGTCTTTCGTTCAGGGAACGAATACCCTCCTGGGACAGAACGTCGAGCAACGGAAACGAAATATTTCGTGAATAATTTAACAGGGTAGCGGGCCTGGATAGTGTAAATAACGAGCTGTATTTTCCATCGGGAGTGTCGATCCCGTCCGTACGCTTAAAATAATCGTCCGCGATCGGTTGGTAATCTCGTGCTCACGGATCGTGAAACGTCCCATAAATGCTCCGAATAGGCGTAGGTACTTTTGTTTTTTTTTTTATTCTTTTACGTGCCGCGTTCGATCGAAACGTAGATATATTTTTCGACGAAAGGCGTACGCGTGTATGTACCTCCCGTGTGTTTCCTTGCATGCGGTAGTATGTGTTCTAGTAGAATGGGGGTGGCGGGTCGTACATCTGTCGGAATGGGTTCTCGATTAATCTGGAAACTGTGCTCGCTTGCAGGAGCTGAAGGAAAGCTTCAATTACGGGCTGTTCTGTCCGCCCGTGAATGGAAAAGCCGGAAAATTCTTGGACGAGGAACGTCGCCTCGGCGATTATCCCTTCAATGGACCCGTCGGCTACTTGGAGGTAAGACACACACGCACACACGCACATACACCTTGCTTTCTTTTATTTCTCATCTCCGTCGTGTTCCTCTCCTACGGTTCTTCGACTCCGGTTGCCAGCGAGGCAACGACCACGCCGCGGAGAACGGTAGAAGCCAAACTGGATATGTAACTTCTGAAGAAAAGAGTAGAAAACGAGGAGTAATTCGATTTGTACACAAATCGCGCGCAGCTCGAAAAGAATACGAAACGTTAATTCGAGGGGAATGTTTCGTGGACGATTCGCTGGATTTCGGGGGAAAGGGAGAGAGAAGGTCCGTTAATGGTTTAATTTGGATTTTCATCCCTGACCTCGCGACCATTCTTGTCGGTAATAATCGCCGGGAGGAAGGCTGAATGCGACGTTTAAATGGGTCCGCCCTCGGGGGGTGCATTGACGCGGCCGGAAAAGGTTATTTCAGCTACAAGATTGCCCGGCCTCGTTGACGTCCGTTCGTCGTCAAAGAAAACAAGAAAGAATCAGGAAAGAGGTTTGCTTGGTTACGAAGACCAGCCCAGCGGCTCTTGAATATCAAGGGTTCTCGCGTTCTCGCTCGAGAACCGGCCGGCAGCGCTCTCGCGTTTTTCTGCGTCCCTCGGGTCAAGGAGGGTCCGCGGCTATTTTTTCCGAGATCCTATTTTTTTTTTTCCACCTCGCGAGGAAACGATCCGCGAAAGGGCGGAGAGAAGTTCACGCGTCGTCAACCGGGGGTGGAACGTTTCCTGCGACCGTGACGGAAAAACGAGCGCCCTGACACAAGGGGAATTCGTTCGAGGAACAACGCGACACACGCGCCTCTTTTTCGACGAACTAATTATCATAAACGATCGATCATCCGCGACGTGAAGCGCGTTTAGACGCCACGCGTACCCGTGTTCTTTCGTAGGCTTTAGCGATTCAGCACAGGAGGAACGAGCTGTACGAAAGAAAGGGGATCGTCGAGATGGCACAGAAAAAAGCGATCGATCTCTGTGCGGTCGTAAAATTGCATTTGAATTCAGTTTAAAACAGGGGTATCCAACATTTTGGCTTCCTTGGACCACCTAGGAAATATCCTAATTCTAACGTTAGTCAGTTAAAATAAGCAAGAATGTCGTAGCATAAGAATCTTCGACTTCGTTTCGTTCACATTTTCTTACAAAATCTAAATACTTTAAGGAAGTTTATGATTATACGTTGGGACGCATGCAGGCTGGACAACCCTGGTTTAAAGAATATGCAAATGTCTTTTTTCGATTCTTCTTTTTAATGTTAGAGTATTCGAAGCTAGGGCTGACTATTCCAACCGAATAATATTAGATCGTATAATAAATTTCCAGGCGTAAGGGATCATCGACGACCAGAAAATATCTTCAACTCGCGATGGCAACGCGCGCGAACCTGCACCTCGTATCCGAGAGTCGATGGTCGACGGTGACTGTTGAAACGGCGATTCGCGAAAAACAAATAATCCCGGTGGTCGGTTAACGAGATCTGGATCTTGCCCGCGGTTTTCTTGCGTAACCGGATCTAGTTCTCATCCCGGTGCTCGCGTTCCCGCTCTCCTTCATCTTCGTCTTCGTGGACGAGAAGGCGATCGGTTCCAGCTCGCGCCAATACCTCTCGCCACGAGGATTCACCTTCTGGGATAGAGAGCCCGATCTGTGTCGCGACAGCTCCTTCGGCTAGTTTCGAAGCCTCGTTCACCTCGCACGAGTTACAAATTAACCGCGCGTTCCGTCGCCCGCGATTAAAAAACTTCTCTGACGAATGCCTTCGTTCCGGTTTCATCGTTTCTTCGGTTCGTGGCTTAGTCTTCTACTGAAAAATCCCAACTATCCGCGAAGACGCTTGTAACTAGAGACTGCAGCGAAAAAGATAGGGTAGTCGGACCTCTTAAATTAGATTCCAATTTCCTGTGAATTTTGTGCGTAACTAGTCTGCCTTTTCTAACTAATAATATAAATCAATTAGGATTTAGACCAACTACTCCAAATCGGCGAAAATTCTTTTCCTAATTCTTATAACCCAAAGAAATGTGTCTGCTGCGCTTTACTGCCAACAATCTAATGAAAATTATATCTGCGGTACACCTTTCGACTTTCGGACCTTCACGATATCGTTAGCTAACACGATGAATAAGCAGGTCACTGTTCGCCTAATGAAATTCTACTTCCGACAAACGTTTACGACCACACTACCAATAGGTCAGGAATTGCTCTTTGACCGCGGAGACCAACGACACAAATGATTGGCCTTGTTGTTTCCAACCTGAGACTCGTAAAGTGCGTGCAATCATGTGACGTATATACCAGTTGACGAACCGAGTAAGTACTTCGTTCGTCGACGTAACATCGGGATGAACGAGTAAATTCGCTGAGACACGACCTTGGTTGGCCAGGATTTTCAGGACGACCATTTCGTTAAATATTTCAACGTCTGCCAGAAGGATGTAGATAAAGTGCAAACGTCCGAAGATAGTGGACGGCGTGTTTTACTTTTTATCGAGCCGCTGCGAGTTCTGCGCGGGCAATAACGCTCGCCGGATAGAGCACCGGATAGGAATAAATACGCGGGGTTAGACAGGCCCATAGATCACCGGTATTCGGTGCCGTCGGTATCCGCAACGTCGTTCTTTTTATTTACTTTTTTTTCTTTCTGTACGCTCATCGATCGCTCGCCGGCGCGAGCACGGTCGATCTCGTCACGCGAGATTCACTTTCAGGGACGAGAGCTGACTCACGAGTGGAGAGGAGCCAGCCGGCTGCCTCTTCTTCTTCTTCTTCTTCTTCTTCTTCTTCTTCGTCTTCTTCTTCTTCGTCTTCTTCTTCTTCTTCGTCTTCTTCTTCTTCTTCTTCGACTACCTGCGAGCAGCCACAAGTAACCGGCGAGTGCCCGAAAAATCTAGCCGCGACTATTAATTTGCACACCCTGCCATCCCATCGATGTGCGCCGCCTGGATCGTTTAGGATAATTTATTCTCGGAGCGCTTCGACGGAGCTTCGGTCCTGAAACGTTTCGAGTAGACCTTCGGTGCTGCTAGCTACTGTTCAAGGATAGACTCACACGGCTCGTTCATAAGCGTTAAAGTACCTACTTGCTGAATATCGAGTAAACTTAAAGAAACTTTTTTAATATATTTATATTATTTACGAACTACCGCAACTTGGCGGGCTACATATAACGGTATTATACGAAGCAACGAATGTTATGCAGGTTGTGTAATTTTGATAAAATTAGGTATTTTATTCGACGATAGCAAGTATCTTCGTAGTTATGATGGGGTGTATAGTTTGAAGAGACAGTAGATGACTCTTCGTCGCGCAATTTATACATAAATTTGTAGACTTTGTACAATGTATCAGACTTGCGTAAAAAGCTACTTTGAGCTTGAGAAAAATTTTACCTAAAGATGAAGCTAATAGGAAAATCACACGAGGATGGATTAAAAGAGGTTACGCACGATGTAAGACAAGTTAACTGCATTATTCAATTAGCCTTCTTCTTCTTCTTCGGCCCTTCGTAGATTGCGGAGTTCGCTGCTTAATATCCAGCGCGTTCGTTCCGCAAAATCGAAATCGGACAGCCGCCGGAAACGTCGGTCAGCGGAAAGATGAAAGGACCAACGGTAGCGGAGTTTAGCCGCGTTTTAGACTGGTCGCCCGATGAAAATGAAAATACTCCGATCGAAGGTGGCTCGTTTTTTTCCGTGTCGGGACGGTGGAACGAAACACGTAGGTGATATACGCCGCGTTCCCCGTGTGGCAGCACCGTATCTCTAATTTGCATTACAACTCGGACTCCCTTGATAATCATAATTGCTGCTAACGGTAGTCATTAGCGGGGCTGTAGCCGCGATATTGCCTATCCGTCAGTAATCTAATGCTATGAAGCACGACGCCTCCGATAATTACAAAGAAGCTGTAACCACCAGGAAGCAGCGGGGTGAATCCCCATTAAGCCCGAGATAATTTTATACTTTGTGCGCGGCCTGCTCGACGAGGTCTCGTTACGGGGAGGGGAAAGACGAACGGTCGTATCGTGGCGTGGCGATCGACCAAAAAATGTGAAAACATCGAAAAAAGCAAACTGAAAGAAAATATAGACCGGGTACACGTCAGTGTCTATACGTCACGGGCGGCTAAGCCTTCATCCGCCGATCGTTGTTACAACCACACCGATCTCACGACGCGAACAGACGAATTGTCAAAGTGATACTTTAGATTCCATTTCGAATTCACAGCTCAAGTACAAGAGGCGGGTTTACAAGATGCTGCACCTGGATGAGAAACAGCTGAAGGCGATGCACACCAGGACGAACTTGCGAAGGTTACTGGAGTACGTGGCAAACAGCCAGGTCGAGAAGATCGCGAAGATGTGCAGCAAGGGACTGGACCCTAACTTCCATTGCCAGGAAACCGGAGGTAAAGTCGATTACGTTTTCGTTTCGTTTCGCCGCGTCGGATAATAACCGACGAGTGGCTTATTCGCGTTCCCGAAAAGTAAATTTCATTTGGATGAAAACCGTCGAGGTGGGAGGGAAGGAGGAAAAGATCGAAAACTCGCTCGCTCGGATAACTGTATTCGGCAAACCGGCTATATTCCTCGCTCGGTTAATTTGTAGACCGGCGACCACGTACTCGGACCCTGTCGCCCCGGGAGAAGATGCCGACCTTGAAGCTGGCGTCAACAGTTATCGGGTTTCCTCTCCGCGATCAGCGTCCTAGCGCTAGCTACGTGCGCGCTTTGCGATCTCGCCGCATCCGCCGTAGAATCGTTTTCACGATACACACGCTCGTTGTTTCTGTTGCAGAGACTCCGTTGACCTTGGCCACGACCCTGAAGAAACCGTCGAAGGTGATCATAGCGTTGGTGAACGGTGGAGCCTTACTGGACTATCGGACGAAGGAGGGCCTGACGGCGATGCATCGAGCGGTCGAGAGGAACAGCTTGGAGGCGGTGAAGACGCTGCTTGAGCTAGGCGCCAGTCCGAACTACAAAGACACCAAGGGACTGACGCCCCTTTACTACAGCGTCATCTACAAGACCGACCCGATGCTCTGCGAGACGCTGCTACACGATCACGCGACGATAGGCGCCCAGGACCTGCAGGGTTGGCAGGAAGTGCATCAGGTTTCTGAGCAGTTTCGATCTTTAGTAACCGACCGGTGCGGTGCGGCGTTCTCGCTGGCTCGCAGTCCACCTAAAATTATAGATCCAGGCTAACGATCGGGCTGCAACCCGACACTAATTAATGGACAGGGGAAAAAATGAATCTGGAGGATCGAGGCTAGTTGAGAAATCGTTAATCTGAATATCTACCGCTGCCGCCGTCGCGCCGCCAAGCGCATCTTGCGAGGCCTCTGATAACGAAGACAGAGATACCCGAGAAACCAGTTAACCGTGTTATTAAAACCGCTAAGCTCGATTAATTTGCGTGCAGAGGGACAGATAGCATTTTAACGCTTTGCCGATGAAGTTACGCCTGATCGAACGCCTGGGTGCTACATAATACAATTGCAACGATCTCCAATTATACACATTGTAGCCCGAATATTTTGCCGAGAAAAACGTTCTAATTCGTAGCTTGCACAGTTCGTCCGTATAGACCGTCAACTTTTTCTTTTCTTCTACGCCTCGGACTGCCGTGACTGGATCTATTTTGAATCGAGTTTACAAAAGCCTCGTTGAACATGTAGCTCACGATAACAGCCTCGAACCCATAATTCTGTACATCAGAGATAATAAGGTGACCAGCGAGTTTCGAAAAAATTGATTCTTTGGCCAGTCCTCCGTGTTTCACTACAAAGACAGACGTATTCGGTCTTGTCGACATATACGTTTAGTTACTTTTAACTCTCATAATTGCCAAAGACACGTACGTAGTTTCATATTTAACGTCGAAAAATGATACTGTGTACTAATACTGAGAATATTACTACGTACAAATTGTAAAGAACATATGTATATCGTTTATTTGTATTATTAAAAAGAAACTGAATGTAAAGAAGGAAAAGAAAAGGATGATGTGTCAGAGTCTAAATGGACTCGGTGACGGACACACGTGCGATCGGCAAGAAACGTTCGCCCACCGAGGGTTAACGGATTAAAGTGATCTGCGCGCGGTTCCCAATGTTTATTTACGCGAAACGCTAGACAAGGTTGGAAGGTGGGAAAGCTCGGTTTAATTATAATCGTCTGCCCTTCGATAATCGATACCCGTGGCGTTCGCAGGCCTGCCGCAACAACCTGGTCCAGCACCTGGATCATTTGCTCTTCTACGGTGCCGACATGAACGCGCGTAACGCGTCCGGGAACACGCCGTTGCACGTATGCGCGGTGAACAACACCGACGCATCTTGCATACGCCAGTTATTGTTCAGGGGAGCGCAGAAAGATAGCCTGAATTACGCAAACCAGACGCCGTACCAGGTCGCCGTGATCGCCGGGAACATGGAGCTGGCCGAGGTCATCAAAAACTATCAACTGGAGGAAGTTGGTGAGTGCCGCGACTTCTGAAAGAGGAACCACGAGGTAGAGCGATATCTTGACGGAACGAGTGATCGAGTTTCCGTTTCGCGGCTGAACGAGAGCGAACTTTCGATCTCGCTGGACTGATTAATTCGCGATCGGCCTGATACGATTTTTCGCTCGCCCTTAACTTATCGAGCAAACTCGGAACGGTACGCGGAACCACTTGGGTCGTGAAATTGAATAAACCCGTCGCGTGTCGTTGGAATCGTTTCATCTTAATCAACTGTCGATTCAACGACAGTGTCTCGTACTCGAAATTACGCGCGTTAACGTTACGACGGCCAAAAACAGAGATATTCGTCGGCTTATCTGATAGTGCGCGGACTTCGATCGATCGTTCGGAAATCTCTCGTAGCACGATTAGCCAAGCATGAGCATGTAAGTAGTGCTTCGTTTCACTTCTGGAACCGACACGCTTTTGTACGCTTTTGATTATAGTGTAGAGGGCTTGGACCCCGGTGTTGGTTGGATAAATATTACACGTTTACATCCGTAATTCTGCGTGTGTGTCTGTGTCTCTGTGCTGTATTGACATATAAGTAAGGAAATGTAACAGTCTGGTGGATTACCTTTTTTTGGTGGTGATGGTCTTGTAAGACGTCGAGTATCTTTGTAACACTAACGAGAAGTAACGACAGAAGTTTGATCGACTGCTTTTGGGTAACTAACGATAACGTATCTTTGGACCGTCGTGAAGCGACCTCGATGCTGTCGTCTTCGCTTCATTCGTCGATTGATCTCTTGAGACAAACAGCCGAGAAATTGGGATAATTCCGACGGAGCAGCATCGAAGTCGCTGAAACAAGTTGTTTAGTGATGTTTGGTAGTTTCGATACGTTAGCTCGTCGCATAAGTAATACGGCCTCTTGGGGTACGTAGTCGATACAACACGCGTTCATTGTTCTCCGTCCATGCAGCACCTAACCGTCGCGATAGTTCCCTCGTACTTTCCCTTCGTTGCTTACGCGACGAGCTAACAATTTGTGAGTATACTTACGTGTGCCGTCATGAGCCATTGGAGTTTCGCCGATGCGAACGATACGTGGCGGCGTGCAGGTTCCAGCGGTCCGTTGTCGACAAACTTGCCGATCAACGGTAGCACATGTCTAAACGGAAGTACGAAGACCGTCGATGGTTACCTCGGGGCATATTGTATCGTACAAAACAGATACAAGCAACCGTGGGTGGAATGCGTGACACTTTCTGCGTGTGCTTTTCACTGCTTTCTTGTACAGAGACTAACGAAACGTTTCGCGATCCGTCGTTGTTCTCGATACGCGCGGAACGATCACCTGCCGAGTAACGTCTGAGTGCGTGGTGTGCGTGCGTGCGTCGACGGATTGTACGACGAAAGTCTGCTTCTGAAAGTCCTGCGGGGCGATCATTGATCCGTGAAACGCCGCTGGGCCAGTACGTCGAACGTTGAACGTTTGAACGGTCATCGAATCTCGCACGAAAGCACCCGACCTGCCAGAAGCTCCGACGCGAGTAAACGAGAGCGACACCGGTTCTCGGGTTCCGAAACCGTGCACGCTTCCCCGTCGGTGTTCGGACCCGGATATCGGACGGATATATGTATATTTCCCGCGGATCGTAAAATGACCGTTGCTCCGAGGAAGACGGGGATACCTTCGGAGTGCGCCTACTTGTAAGGCTAAGTAATCCTTTCTTTACTTAACCTTGCAACCCTCGATTTTCCAGTACCGTTTAAAGGGCCGCCACGCTACAACCCGAAACGACGCTCGGTGGCGTTCGCCGGCACCTCGACGATGACCACAAGCTGCTCGGCCAGTAACTTGGGCACCCTGACCAGGATACCGTCCGCGGAACAACAGCACGGCTCCTCCGGAACCAGCGGCTCTGGAGGCAGCCTCACCAGAACGATCTCGGTGGAGCAGTACACGAGCAGCGTCAACGCGATCACGAGAGTGCCATCCGCGGAGCAATACGCGGCCGGCACGTTGACCAGAGTACCGTCCACGGAACAACAGTATCCATCCTCCGCCGGCACCCTGAACCGATTACCGTTGTCCGGAGAGCAATACGCTAATCCGATCGCGACCGTGACCGCGACCGCGACCGGTACGGTTACCAGGGTATCATCCTGCTCCGCCTCCTCCACCACCTCCTCCTCGTCCTCGTCATCGTCCTCCTCTTCATCCGGGGAGCAATACACCGCGGCGACCGGTACGCTCACCAGAGTACCGTCCACCGAACAATACCAGACCGGTACGCTCACCAGAATCCCGTCCACCGAGCAGTATCCGAGCAGAACTTTGTCCGGCGAGCAGTACGCCGGCACGACCGGTATCGCGAGGACGGAGTCGCATCACGGCAGCCTCGGCAGAGTACCGTCCATCGACACGACCAGAAACGACATACAGAGAATACCGTCCGAGCAGCACGCGCCCGCCCGAACCGAGCAGAACGGGCATCGGATCTCGTCGGACTACCAGAGCCCAAATTCCCTGAGGGATCCTAACGCGAGGTAAGCATAAACTGTCTTTGCGATCACTTCCTCCGAATCACGGACTCGCTCCCGATCCGGTGTTTCCTACCCCGTCGAACGATCAATCCCGCCGGAACGATTTGGCCCGATTTTCTCCGTCTTCGATATATGTATAATATATATATAATATATATGATCGGCCTCGATATGTTTGCCTCGCGCAAGTTGATACTACTATCCAAGAATTCCGGATGTGAGTCGCGCATCCGTCTAGAGCAAGGTTTCGATATGCATCTGGTATCGCGGTTAAGTTCATCCGAGGTCCGAAGACGCACCGATACTCTTGCTATTGGACCAGTCTCTGTTTCCATTTTGTACAGATCGCGATCCACCGACCAATTAAAACCCACGATCGACGATCGGATACGCGAGAACGCGTACCTTAACTATCGCTGCGTCCTTTGGTCTCTGATCCATCCGCGACTACGATACGAGCGAAACGCAAAACTTTTTCCTCCCGACGACACACGATTCGCATCCGGAAGCCTGCTCGAATACCCGGACACGAGAGAGAGTCGCGGGAATTCGTCTTACGGACGCGTGCTCGGAATTCACCGACCGCGTTGAAGCAAAGACAATTTACGCTAATCTCGTGAGATTTGTCGAGCAACCAGGTCGAACGAGAACCGTTTGACGCTCTATACGCGTTCCGCTCCCATTTCAAGATTACCAACCGCCGCGGAGAACTATCAGAACTTAAGAATGGAGGGTCTGACGAGGCTGCAAGAACACCGGCTCGAGCTCCAGCAACGTCTCGACATGCACAGAACGATGGAGATGCCGCCGTCGCCGTCGCCGAGCAGCAGAAGTCTAGCTCCTTTCAGCTCGGCCAGCTCGAGCCTCTCCGAAGGCAGCAATCAACCGTCCGGCGAAGATTCCGCCAGCATCGTCACAGGTATACACACACAGGTTTATTTTCTTCAACTTTTCCTCTCTCCGCGGGAGAGGGAATGAACGCCGACAGAGAAAGAAAGAGAGAGAGAGAGAGAGTGTGTGTGTGTGTGTCGCCTCTACGGAAGCGCTCCACCGAAGATCCTCGAGATCTCCCGGCGCGTTTCGAACACGAATCCCAAGACAAAATAGACAGGTAGAGAGAGAGAGAAAGAGAGAGAGTGCGAGGGACAGAGAGAAAGGGAGAACGAGCAAAAGAGAGAGAAAGTGAGTATATTCTGTATATATTTGGCGTGATTCGTATGGTCAAACCATCACCATCAGAAATGGTACGCGAAGCTGGAACGACCAATTCGAGGTTAACACGATAGCTTGTCTTAGCGGATGTAACATCAGCAACCTAGACTTTCGTTTGCCGCCACGAATTAGTTATTAGCCACACATGTCCAAGGCGAGTTCTTTTCTTAGCGTTAAGGTAGCCTTGCTCCGTTAAGAATCTAGCGTTGCATGACGTTCATCGCTCTAAGACGATCCCAGCCGATCGAACAGCGAAATCTCAGCCTTCCGTTCCGTGAATGTTTAGACAAAAGCCTCGGCGACACAGCCTCCGATGTGATCAGCGACAGTTCCGGCGTAGGGACCTCGCAGTCGGATACCACCAACTCCCTCTCGATCCCTGGGACCACCGTCGTCTGCGTCGAGAGTTACAACAGCGGCATTCTGGGTCATCTGAGCATCAACCAAGGAGACATCCTCGAAGGTACTGCTCCAAACACTCGATCCAATTTTCGTCCCATCGTATCCCCCACTCTCGCAACATTCTCTGTTAATTTCTGTCTTATAGGCGACTCCAAATATTAAATGTTCTCTGATGGCAAGGGTATATTTTTTTCCGTTTCTTTATTGTTAACAGTCACCGGTGCTACCGACTGTGGCCTCCTCGAGGGTGTTCTTCGCGGGCAGGGCACGGGTCTGTTTCCCGCGCACTGCGTGCAGGAAGTCAGGCTTCGGCATACAAACATCCCGTTGGGTCCGCAGCCCCCCAGGGACGGACGGAACAGAGTGCTGGGTCGCAGAGAATCGCAGCACAAGTATTTCGCTACCGCCCCTAGGTTGAAGAAACCGTGAGTCTTGCTTCTATCTTTTATCTAGCCGGGAATATTAACGTCCCGCGAACGAAACGTTCCGTGATTCTCGTCTAGGCACATAAGACAGTTATAACAGAAACTTGAATCCGATCGAGCGACAGCTACTACTTTCCTCGAACGTCGTTGCCTTGAGTGCTAACGGAAACGATATGTCGTTTACGCACTGGGAGTAACCGTTATACGATCGAAACATGTTTCAGGGTCACGTCGGAACCTCGAACCGTGGTATTGCACCGCTCGCGAAAAGGTTTCGGGTTCGTATTACGAGGTGCCAAGGCGACTTCGCCTTTGATGGAGCTGACGCCGTCGGCCAGGTACCCCGCCTTGCAGTACTTGGACGACGTCGATCAAGGAGGAGTGGCCGATCTGGCTGGTCTTCGTAAAGGAGACTTCCTTATCCACGTAATGCCCCTCTTGCTGCTCTTATTTTTCCCATTAACCGACCGTGTGGAACGTAATGAGACGCGCTCTTTATCCGTTCGCAGATCAACGGCGAGGACGTGACGACGGCGTCCCACGAACACGTGGTCGATCTGATCAGAAAATCCGGAGAGCTGGTCAGGATGACCGTGATCTCGCCGATGATCAGCCTTCCGAACTCACAATCGGCAGCCATATTGCCAACTAGTCAACCGATTCAGAGACAATACGCGACCCTGCCGCGTAAAGGTAATAACAACGTGGTGATCGGCGGTACTCTCGGTAGATCACCGGCTCCTATGCCACCCCGAAGAGATCCGAAGACGACGCTGAGCGTTGGTCGGGCGCGAGCCAGATCAATGGTCGCCGGATTAGGTGAGCTTCCATCGAACGAACGGTTCGATGACCCGAATGACTATGCTCGATTGTCCTCGATTATCCCCGAGCGTCCTCGAACATCCGTTAGTAATTATTCTGTTTGCTCGTGCACGCAGAAGGCGGTGGCGAGAGGGACGATCGCGACGAGATAACATCGACCGGGGCCAAGTCGAGTAGCGCCGAGTCGATACATCTTCCTCAACAACCATCCACCGGGCCAAACACCGGGCAGAACACGCCCGTTCAGCCGAGAACGGCCAGTATCCGATCGAGACCTACCTCCAGCAGGATCACTGCCGCGGAACTGGAGGTACAGAGAAGCACGAGGCACAGATTGGTTGCTCGATCGTGAACCACGCGCTTCCTCTTCTCCTTGAATGGCATTGCACGAAACGAACCGAGGCTTCAAGCTTTGTCCTTCCTTTCTTCCAGGAACTATTTCAGCGGCAGCAGGGTAGCACCAGTGGTCAGTACAGCTCGTCCATGATGAGCTCTCACTTTCAGACTGGTCAAGCTACCAAGTCGCATCCCTCCTCGCCTGCTAAGACCGGCAGGGTATATGCGAGCGTAGCGGAAATGAAACGCAAAGGCAAAGTAAGAATACACATACACATACACACGTACAAGTGTTATCCGGGCAATTTGATTTCCGTATATTTTTCTCTTTTGGTCTGCCTGTAGACGGTTTTAGTCGTTCGGTTCTGTTTGCCGCGGTATCAGTTTGGGTCAGACAGGGTTAGAGCGTAGATTGATTTAGTTGTAGAATTTGAGCAACTATTATCGAAACCCTTGGACTTTCATTTTTATCAGACGTAATTCGGATACATCGTATGTCAGTATAAACTGAACTCCTTCTTCGGAGATTTATGGCTTTCGCGAACCGACGTAGTATAGCTATTATTATTGAGGTTTCCTGTGTGGACCGTGGCTTTTTGGGAAACTAGTATCGACGTTTCATTAGCATTGCAACTAGCTTCAGCAAAAGGTGAATGACGGTAATGTTTCCGATACTGTGTACAATGTCGGTATGTCATTCAACCCTTGATGAAACTATGTAGCTGCAATGCTGGCGAAGGATTGGAACGAGCTTTCCAAAAGGATCTGGCCTACAACAAAATGCCTCAACAGTAATCACTAGATCTTGGATCTTTATACAAATATAATATTCTACCAACTATTTACAGAGACTGGACTTAAACAGAAATTTATTCTCTAGACTTCTGCTATCCAGTGTTCAGGATAATAGAAAAATCATAACGGACTTTGTTAAACTTTTTACTACCCGGAATGTTAGTCGATCGCATTCTAAAATCCACCGTCTCGTAATAATTGTAGAATTCTTTACTGTCGGCGCTTTTGTCGGTTATCCAGGTTGATCTTGGTCAGATGGTCCTCCCATTAGTTGTTTTTAGCCGTTATCGGTATACGACGCAAGCATTTGACGGAGACAACTAATAAAACTCCTCGACGATGCATGCTCCAGGGTGATGGTGGCTGTTTTTTTACGCATGTGTGTTATAGTTTTCTCGCAAGCCAGCACGAGTGTACAGCAGGGGGCGTTCCTGGTACGAGAGAGACAACGAGGACGACTTATATTACTGATCGAAAATACTTTGTTTCTAGCGCGTCCATGACTTGCATGATTCCAGGTGACTAAGCCATTTGCTAATGAAAATCCGATGCTCGAAAGGGCATCGGATATCACCTTCGGCTTTGTGAACACGCCTCGCAGAACTAACGATGTGTATCCATGTAACGAACATTTTAATTACTTTGCTTTCACTTTTTTGCGTGACCGTACAATTCCCCCGTGCACCGTGCATAATGAGCCTCTAAACGCTTAAATGATACTTAACTGGTTTCACGTTCTCGAGATTCCGGACCGTTCTGCAACCTCACAGGCTTTTAGAGCCACGCACGTAACTTTCCGTGGAGCTCGAAGGCTCGAAAACTCGAAAACCCGAGTATTGTCTGTGTGTGCATGTAACAGTATAGTGCTTCTGGGTTTTCAACTTCGGAATCATGGAACGTACAACGTATGTGTATCTTCTTCTACTGTTACGGTTTAACCCTTCCCCGCAGATATCATTTGGACATGTACTATTTTGCTGACAAGAATAGAATTAGAAATTATTACATGGTAATACTTAAAATTTGTCAAATCACATCATCGATACCGTGATGTTAATCTGAAAGAATAAAACTCTTGGCTGGTTACTTACTCAAGTCACACACTTGACAACACAATCCATGGGAAACGGTTAAAATATCAAGACGTCTTTCTCTTTTAACAATTACTCGAGTTTCAAAGTTGTACGCTGTTCACAAGTATTTAAAAATATTTCTACGGGAAGTATTGGTACGCGTTGATGAATTGAAAGCTTCTAACACGTTTGCCGTCTCGACAGTCTGTTCAGATGTAGAAACATATTCTCATAATGGTTTCAAATAACGAACCATTCAACTGTTTACAAATGCATTTAATAATTTAAGTATATCTTTTTTGTAATCAACAATGCTTATAGTTATACATCGCGTATAACGTTTCGAGAAGATCTATTTGTTTAATATTTTTCAATAGATCATTTATGTATATTGTCTATAGTTATGTAGTGCATATTTTTGTATTTACTCATGAAACATGCTGACATAGTTTGCCGGGAAAATTTGGGACGCCATTGTAATCATATGTATACGTATGTATAAATAAAAGTAGGACAGCAGACGTGTTAACGGTAGTCGGCTTCTTTTTAATGCTTTCCATATTAATTGTCGTACCTATGTATATAATGGTAGTGCTATGCGTCCAGCTGTTGTCTTCGTGAACGCTGACTTGGACGTTGGATCGTTTGTTCCTACTTATTTGCTCGTTTGTTTCCAGTCAAATTCGAAAGTGCGCTTCTTCGGAGGATTAGGCGGTGGTTCCGACCTTCACAGAGATTTCCACAGCACTCCGGACTTGAACGTGCAGGTGCAGTCGTCTATTTTAGCTCCGAAAGGGCATAGAAGCCAGGAGGACGTGAACGCGATGAATGGCAGAAATGGGCTTCCGCCACCCAACCATCCGCCGCCACCACCGCCGGTCGGCCAAGTCGTCAAAGTGAACGTAGGCGCTAACGTGCCGGACGTAGTCACACCGGCGTCCGTCTACGACAACATGGCTCACATACAGCAAGTCAAAGGTATCCTACGCGTATACAGCAACCTCTATACAGCTAGTAATGCATCACAACATTCGAATATTTCACCCTCGCGATATTCGAATTTTACAGCCTCCACTTTTCAATCTAAAAAATCTTTAAAAAAATGAATTTTCATTTGGAAAATCTCAATAATTCAGTAGTTGATGTTTCAGAAAAACACAAAGGAAAACCAGGAAATTTTTATGTTATATATTTTAGTAGACGACACACATTGGAGACATTGTTCCTCGCAGCTTTGAAATTCTCGTCTCTGAATGTCTGGTTTTCCATTCTCGTTGAATTCATTGTCTACCAATTTCGGAACGAACGATCCGAAACATTGCGTATCTCTTGAAGCATTACTGCATAAATCGTAGGATGTTGTGTGTGTGTGTGTGTGACTTTATTGTAAATCGCAAAACTACATAGCAGTAGGTAATTCATCTGGTTTACACTTTTAGAACTAGCAGCCGCAACGGCAGATGGAAACTTTATTGTAAATCGCAAAACCACATAGCAGTAGGTAATTCATCTGGTTTACACTTTTAGAACTAGCAGCCGCAACGGCAGATGGAGGCTACGGAGTGATGTCGAGCTTCCGACCATCGAACAGCGCCAAGCTGTATGCTTCGCCGGAGGACATGAAGACAGTAGGATACCGTTCCCGCAGCTTACCGGCACATACGACCCGCTGCCACGTGAGAAAGTCCCATAGCTTGCGTACTACAAACAACACGACGTTCAAACCACTGAACAACCAACAGAACGCGAACAACACCGTCGGTAATAATAACCAAGTGAACAACAATCAGTCTACCAACAACCAGTACGCACAACCTCTGAAGACCAACAGAAGTCACAGCACAGTGGGTATCAGGGAACGAAAGAAGAAGGCTATCGTCACGAGCGCGTCCATCACAAATCTCTCGTCGATATCGAACAACAACACGGTAACTACCGTACCGGCCACAGCACCACCGATCCCGGAACCAGACTACAGTCTCTCCGAGTCGGAGAACGACGAAGGGGAGGAGGAGACGGACGAGGATGGAGAATCGGAAATCACGAAGGAACTGGAAAAAGCGGCGGCGAGAGAGAAATTAGAGTCGACCAGAGAAACCTCGGGTAATTCGAACACTTCCGGTTCGAGTTCGTCCGGCAGTAGTTCGCTGCCGCACTCGTTCAGCGTCGATGAAATTCAGAAAGTTCGGACGCAGCTGAAGTCGTCGAAGAGTCATCCGAACGACTTCCTGCTGCAACAGACCCAGTCATTAGCCGAGGACGGTGATAATAGTTCAAGCGGAGTCAGTTCCGACCAGGACGTACCGGTGGGTCCACCGACGGGTTTCGACGACACGGCCGCTAGAAATCTCGCGAACGAAGCCGCTCAGCATCCAACGACGGTGCTGTCGGTCACCAGCACCGAGAAGGAGGTTAACCCGAAGAGGACCAGCTACGGCGGTAGCGGATTGCTGACCAGACACGCGGTGAGTCTGGCTCAGTTACCTCCTCCGATCGAAGCGGACGCCGAGGAACAGAGCAGCGACCTGTTCGTGCCGCCGCCACCGGAATTCAACGCCGGAACATCCACGGGAAATCCGGACGAAATGGTGTTCGCTCCGCCGCCCCAGTTTTGCGATAACAGGCAACAATCGTCGCAGCAATCGCAACCGCAGCAGCAACAGAATCGCGTGAAAATCATCGGCGCGATACCGAAAGTTACCAACAATCAAGTGAAGGCTTCCGGTGGACGGTTGCATAACCAGTGAAGGATCGTAGGCAAACTGTCGATAAGCACACGGTTCAAATCGCATGATCGTGGATCACTATCGCCAGAGTCAATTTAATCTCTTCCGTATTTAACCTTCTTCTCCACCTGAGAGTGTCGCGTCGCGTGATCCGGATACAATCCGTTTCCGTCTCGTCGTATTCGAGAATTCGGCCGATAACTCGGTCGCGACCAACAGACACATAATAAACACACAAAGGTCACACACACACACATACATACGTGCATGTACACGTACTACGCGTCATAGACATATAGAGATACACACACGCGCGCGTGCGCGCGTACACATACACGCACACACACGATTTTTGCAATAAATTTTTCACCGATAGAAAAATACGAAGCGTTTTCACGCCGAAGGTGTTTTGTAAGGAGCGAACGCGCATAGTCTCTGCGGCGACTATCCGTGCTTCGATCGAGCGAGCGGATATTCGCGTCGCTTCATCGCGCGTCCGTAGTAATGGAGTGAAAATATTCAGCAAGTTTTTACCGTAAGCGTAGAATACGAATCGTACGAGCCGCAGATAGTCGAAGATCCGTAGCCGTCTCGCGGAATGGCCTAAGGGGTGATCGAGATGAAGATCCACAAAGCGGTACCGTAGCTCGTGATTAGAGAGACAAAGAGTGAAAGTGTTATTCTGTGAATGTGGAAACGTATCGAATGAATGTGTAGCGCATATCGGGTTTGTTTTTCATATTTCTAACGAGATACGGCGCGTGTTTAATACTTTTACATGTAAACGACCTTTCCGCCAACCCCCCCGTAAAGCCGTCAATAGTTCTCTCACTCCAAAGGAACAGATGACAAACATTCGACATTTTCGATGCACGATGCATCGAGATACCAGTTCGCGAGAGAATTCGGCTCGGTGCTGCCGATAGAAGTTTGTTCGAACTTTCTGACCGTTTTGGCATTTTCGTAGCATGGAAAGCGACGCGACTCGATACGAAACGAGTCGAAGATTCCGTCGTCCGATTCGTTTACCAGCGAAACGCGGCGCGCGGTTCAGTTCGATTCCGTTTCTCTATCTCTCTCGTGTCTAGACACTGCTCAAGAGCCTAATTACAAAGTTCTACTCGCAAAAAGTCATTAGAGATTGTTTCTAGTTTGTAATAACGATTAAATAGCGCAACGACGAGTATGAATTTATCAACTAAGCTCGTAATCGCGTTAATAGTGACGCACTGTACTACTACGTTAACGCACCAACATTATTCAGCTTGTAAGATAGAAATCGTATTCCTTCCATTCGAGAATCGGGCTCCTGGGAGCCGCGAGATACCGCGACTTCCACGAACGAACAAACGAACGAGGGATATTCCGAGCAACGCGCGACGTCTTTGTGTCACGTGTCGATGTTCTGTCGCGACCAAGAAATAAAGAACACGTGTCCATGTACGTTTGCAATGAAGCACCGTTCAATAATTTCGCGTCAATGATAAATTGCTAAACAGATTGTTTCCCGCAGTTTACGAATACCGTGTTGATTTTATCCTTTTGTATATAGTGTACGTCTAATCGGCGATCATTTAGAAGTGTCGACGTTGGTACGACCGACGAAGATAGATCTCGCGACTCTCGGTGACAGTGCTACATACTGTATATACCGGAACAACATTACTATGTATTGAATAATCTATAACGATGGAATGATTACTATCATCATCACATTTATGATCACCGCGTTAAATCTAAGCGATTATCCATACAAAAGAAAACACAACGTCCTTCCTAATTATTGTTTCTATGCCTTTTCAAGTTTAAGAAAAAAACATATTCATATACAGACACAGCGAAGTAATGGTAATTAAGTCACCGACATGCTTACTGGAAGCATGGCGAAAAGAAACAGTTTCCGAGTCGAAGGGAATCGTATAAAGATAAGTATTGAATGTTCCTTAGATATTTTATTGTTTGTTTTACGATCGAAAGAACGCGGAGGATCGCCGACGCGTGTGCATCGGTTTCAAAAAAGAAAAACGAAGATATAAGAAAGAGAACTTCGATGATCGACTGGTTGAATTCGGGTCAGTAAAGCAATATTGTACGCATTACAACGGCTCGTGTAATAATAAACCGTTTCAGAATAGAATTCTATCTTTGTTTGCGATCTCGACTATATATCGGTTTCGTCTTATTGTCGGTTTATGCTAATTTCCACGTGCACGTTCGCAGCAACGTTCGCTCGAAGGCGGGCGCATCGTGTCGAAAATATTTTGTGCTGTTGAGTTCGGTGTGTCGCGCAAAGTACGTAGTAAATGAGAAACGAGATGAAACCTATGGTAAACGACATTCCTGCCAAAACTATTTGTAATAGCGTGTAATGTATCAAAATTTATAGGTATAGCTGAAGCTGAACGTAACTCGGAAGAAGAGTATCACATATACGTTCTGCGAAATCCGATCGCAATTATAATCTATTCCTTTTCCACGCAACATCTTAAATGAAACGAAAATTTAGAATATTTTTCATCTGGGATTTCAGTTTCAAAATATATTTAATTTTGAAAATAAGTGAAGCTCGCGCCCAAATCAGCAGACTTGCGTCCTCTGTTGTGCCAAAGGAGAAGCTTGATAGCGCCAAATTTTACAGCATGCATTTTCAAAATTGGGTTTTCTCAAGACACAAACCAACGCGCGAAAAGAATTATGCTACATTTTTTGTTTATTTTTTTTTTACGTGTAACCATTCCTCTTACGATTCTTTATCATATTTACTTTGGTACACTCTATAATATGTACAATTTAAAACGCTTCAAAATCTTATTCGAAAGGTAGTGCAGTTTATGGCTGAAAAACATACTCCAAAAACGAGATAGCTGAATGTTTTATGTAGCAGGCTCCAAAAGAAGAGTTTTGCATAACACATTTGCATTAATTATTCCCTCCAGAACGAGGACGGTATGCGTAACATTTACGATGGCAGAATCTAGAAGATTTAAAGTACCCAACGGAACTGAATGAATTTATAAAATTATAAGATGGATAGCTTTGAATAAAAATTCGTATCCAGATACAACGAATACCGTTACGACATTTTGCACTTTTGCTTCCGGTGTAGGTAGTCGACATTTATGAATTCCACGTTGTTGTGCAAAATTTTTATTTATCAATTTCTCACTTTATTTATAAAGAGTTATTACCCGTCCCAGTTTTACTATGCAAATGTAGTATACATTGTTGTCCGATGCATTCAAACAGGTAATGCAGATCGAACTTCTGAAATTTCAGCTTTTTCTAACGCATACACACACGTTTTGGTAACTGCTCGACGTTCAATACACCTCCCTTTAACTATCATACTGCTGCGATTACCATTAGTACGTTTTGTACTATACTTAATTACTGTATTACGAGTTTCAAGATCCGTGCAATTTTTCGACGATAAATAATAACCGATCATGTTCAACTAATATATGATAGTATACCTATCTTACTACGTGTATTAAATTGTCCTTTTTCATCGCTTCAGGTTTCCTTGCTTATTCTTCACTTTCTTAATTTATATGCACTCGGACCGTAAGGGAAAAAGTAGACAACTTAATTGAATATTGGGCTCTGAAATTTCCTATAATCGCACAGGTGTACCTATTCATCAACGATCAATGTTGAACTTTTTTTATTATACGTATATGTAGTATCACCGACGAGTTATAGGATAGACCTATCATCTTATGGGACTTCGTGTCTCATGTTCTGAAATACCGATAGTGTAACAAGTCAGGGATTTTCTGCTGCCCTCTACGTTATGAGAACGGTGAATTTGTGAACTACGTTAAATCCATTCGAGCTCAACTAGTCTAACTTCTACAGTGTTGTCAAGTCTAAAGTACAATGTTGTCAGATCATGAGTGTTCGGTACGTCGGAAAATCATCGAAGGGACCATGGTCGTGAACGGATTCTCTTCCGTCCGTTCACTGTAAAGTAGACGTATTAGAAAGGAGTCTAGGGTTCCCATCCCGACGGACCTATATTAGTTTTTCTTCGCGTACAAAAAAGTTATTGCGTTTAATATTGTTTTTATGGATATGTATATGTATTATTATATACATTTGAGTAAATTATTTTATTATTCCATTGTTATTACAACAGTTTAACAGTGACAACGAACGCATG